CTGTAGGGGCGTTATAAGGTGACCGTCACTCGCACTATTCGTAGGTAAAATAGTAGCTCAACAGTTGTCGGTGGGTGGCGTTGACTAGCTACTTTCCCTCTAGTCTATCACTGCTAAATTAGGGACGGCTAGTGCAGATAGTGTGTTTTTTTATTGTAAAATATTTATGCAATAATCACTGTTTAAGGGTTCATTTCTGTATTAACAATTTAAGTTACTATTTCGTTGAAAGGTTTATTTTTGTCATGTGGCTACTGGGGATTAATGTTAGAGAGCATGCCGTTTGTGTTGTTTGTTATAATGGGTCATCGGTAAGCTTATAGACTTACAGCGCTAAAATCCATGGTTCGATTCCCTGTGATGGACAGGGTGCGTGTAACCCATTGGTAGTTTTGCACTAAGAAAACAACATATATAAGTACTTTTTTGTGCTTTGCATTTCGGTGGTAAAGGGGTTATTTTTAATTTGTAATGTCGAATTGCCTATAATGTGTTAAAGGGCTTTTTTGTATTGAATTAATTATTACTGTTCATTGTTAAAGGGTCATTTTTGTTATTGAAGATTTAGTGTGTTATATTTATGCAAGCTTGACAATTTAATTCTGTGTTTGATGTTAAAAGGATTTCATATGTTTTATGTGATTTTTCAAATTTGAAGGGTTTATTTCACTGCACATTCGGATTTGATTTTGTTCAAGAGCATTTATTTGCGTGTGTGTAGTTTTGTTTTTAATATTATTTTTACTGTAATGTTACGATTTTTTATTTGTCTGTCTTGGTAAGTTCGTAAATTATGATTTTTAAAATAGTTTAACATGATGTCCAAAGCATATATTGCACACAGATTTTAGGAAAGCGTGACTGAACGTGTTTTGTACGTTAAAATGGATGGTACACGTGTAAATATATAATATTAATATCATATCGACAATAATTTACGTACCTAAATTCTTTACATGTTCGACAGATAGCAGCACGTCTGAGAAAAACATTTAGCGAACAAAATATCCATACAACATAAAAAGTAGTTCTAAATTGTTTATTGGTGTAATATTTAAATAACGCTAAAAGAAACAGACTTGATGAAATAAAAGTTTCTAAGCTAGTTTCTAGTTCAGGTATAGAAATAATTGAATAAAACTAAAAGATGAAACATATCGTAAAAAACTATGCCTGACTAAGCACTGCTTTGAGACTGCACAAGATGACATGGCTCATGATGGCTGATATGTTTTAAAAATAAACGACTTTGCGTTAGGCTTATAACAATGGAATGTTGGGTGTCTTAAGAATTTGATATGCTTGTGGGTTCAGAAATATTATTATAATTATTTATTTTCTAGATTGTTTAAATTTTGCTTTTCTTTAAAGAATATGAATATATTTTTTTACAAATAGGTGAAAATAGGCCATTTGCTCCACAGTCACATGAACGATCGAGGTCACAGTCAACTTCCCGAAAATTCAACTCTAATACTATAGTATTACTAATATTATTACTATAATATAATGTTTCTAGTATTAGTAGTGTGATGTTAAACTTTAGTTTTAGCAATTTAGGATAATTTTGTAAGTAGCAGAAATATTAGTAACAGTTTAAGAGTGATTAGGTACTTACTTTAAAGTCAAAAGTGGAATTTCATGAAAAAGAATTTAGCTTAGTTCGATGTGTAAAGCTTCGAAAAGTTCAGACTGTGCGTTGGATTTTTGGTTTAGCGGTCATGGACGGTCATACACATACTCGTAGCCCATTGAGGGGTGAGGTTCTCGTTGAAACAGCCCCTACTCCAATCAGTGCGTTAGTTTAGTAAAGTTTGAGCTATTTTAGCAGTACGAATTTAATATTAATCATTTTTATACGTAAGCCTAAATATACGTATATGTTATATAAAAAAGCAATAACTGAAACTTTAATATATAATTTTATTAACTGTTGGTACTATATGTATATATATATATATATATATATATGTTGTTATTTATATATAAATTATAAGCTTAGTGCAATTTCTCTTAAAATTTGCAAAGTGTGGTAAGCTTTTTAAGTTAAACCTAACTCAGTCAAACAAGTGTATCGTAATTTTTAAATAAAAAAATGTGTACGTAACTTCTAAACCCATGTATCATTATAACTTTTGTAAGTAATGCTTAGAATTTTAGAAAACTAAGTTACTTTAGGGCTCAATAGGCTAAGTATTAGTATTCCGACTATTCGTTGTTCACGAAACTCCATATACTAGTACTGCTACTAGTATACTATAGTTTGGATCAAATATTATTTGAATATGAGTCATTACAATTAATGTGATTAAGTAGGCTTAGGATTATGTATTTTAAGTGTACAAAAAAGTATGATTTGAACTTGGTTAGTTATACTGATCGATTCTTTTTCGGAAAACGTAATTTAATAATAAAGAAAAACACATAATTTTATGAAGCATTTTCTAAACGTTTTGAAATTGAAGATTCCGAAACGTTTAATAACAATAAGTCATTAAATGCTTCACGTAATTACGGTCGTGTTTTTCTCTTTGGTTAACTTTTTCATATGCTTAAAGTTAAAGAACCCAGTGTTTTGTATAAAATTAAAAAAAGAAATGACTAGTTTTAGGCTTAGATCAATCCATAAAAAAAACTATGCCTAACACGAACAAATTAGGCCTAAGTAACACCTTGCTAAATTGTTTACAGATGATTAACCTCAGTAACATTTTAAGTTTTAACTGCTTAGCTAAATTAATCAATTATAATAAATACATTTGAAATGGTAATAATTGCTAAACCAATCCTATCTTAAAACTAATTCATAAAGAAAGGGTATTAGTATTACCATTAAAACAAACTGGTATGAGCACTGAAGATTCATTTTATAGTGACTAGTGGTAATGGTACTGTAAATTGTAATTAAAATCTGGCCACTATTGTTTTTATGAAGATATTAAATCCAAATCCTTAAAACATTACAGTGTAATCAATTGTATTACTATTAAGATACAATATCTATAACTTTAGTATTTAATGAAGTGAGAAAATATTGACATATAACTTTCCTAAAACTGTTACTTGTGTTCGCAACCATTTAAATTATTTTTATCATGCATTTACACACAGCCATATCAAAATGTTTCTAATATAAAAACAAAAAGGTTTGATTCTTTTAATGTTGGAATCAGTAGTTCTACAAACAGTTGGGCACAAAACTACTTGTTATAGAATTGCAGGAAATCGAAAAAAATTATTTTTTCACTTTTTGCTTGCCTTGAATGTACTTTTTACAGCATTTTAGTACATTTAAAAACAAACATTTACTAGGAAACCTTTGCTTATTGCTCAGTACATTTTTTTATCATTAAGAAAGGTAGTCAAAACATGTTTTTTTTTTCTCCTTTAAGGTTAAAACTTGGATTCACTGAAATGTGCTGAAGGTGTTGGACACTAGATAAATTAAGGTAATGACTTGTTTAAGAAGTTGATATGAGGTGTAAATAGATTTATGAAATAAAATGAACATTCTTGCTAAGATACAGGGCTATCAATTGAAAATAAATTTTATTTATTTTAGAAGTACTCAATATGTAGGGTGTCTTCTGGGAGCCACCAAGTCCCCCCAGCAGATCTAGAGTATCATCCTGTTGGGGGAAGAGCAGAACCTCTGGAATCTCCTGATTTATGTGAATAGATAGTTGATTATAGTGCTGGGTGATCAGTGGAGTTTTTTATTGTCAGGCTCATTAATTGGTTATTCTCATGAGACGTGGAAAGTTGTATTTAAAATAGTAATGAATGGAAACACTAATTTTAATTAATTATTTTTGTGACATTGATTATTTTGTTTAATACTAATCAATGCTCATAGGTAACCTGTATCTGACAAGGACAACTGATACATGCTGTCAGTAGTGATCTATGCAATACATTACCCAGAAGCCATAGCACTGCCAAAGATAGAGACAGAGAGAGTAGCATAAGCCCTTTTTTGGAGTGTTCTGCAGAGTAAACTTCCCAAAAGAAGTAGTGAGTGAGAGAGGGGCTCAGTTTACCTTAGAACTGATGCAAGAAGTGTGCAGACTCATCAGTACTAGGCAGCTCTTTACCACTCCATACAACTCTAGATGTAACAGACTTTGTGAGAGAGACAATAGTCTTAAAGAGCATGCTGAAGAAGATGTGACAGAAAAGACCATATGACTGAGACAGGTACCTGCAGACAGTATTGTTTGCTTATCAAGAAGTCCCACAAGCAAGTACAGAATTTTCACCCTTTGAGCTACTGTACGGAAGAACAATATGAGGTCTGATGCAGATATTGAAAAACTGTAGACAGAAGAAAAGTCGGAAGTGAGGAACACATATCAGTATGTGTTAGACCTCAGAAACCGACTGGAGGAGACTTTTCAACTCACTCGAGAGAGTTTGTATGCAGCTCAAAGCAGTCAGAAGCACTTCTATGACAAAAAGGCGGTAAATCAATGTTTAAAGGTTGGACAGAAGATTTTAGCTCTGCTACTCACAAAAAAGAACAAACAAAACTCACCCTGTAGTGCAAAGAACCTTTTGAAGTACAGGAAATAGTCAACAGAATGGACCACTGGGTTGAGATGAGACATAGAAAGATATTAACAGCAGTGGTAAGCAGAAGAAAGAGTTACAAACGTGATTGAACGTGTTTTGTATGATAAAATGGATGGTACACGTGTAAGTATATAAATTTAATATCATATAGACAATGATTTACGTACCTAAATTCCTTACATGTTTGACAGATAGCAGCACGTCCTAGAAAGACATTTAGAGAACAAAATATCCATATAACATAAAAAGTAGATCTAATTTGTTTTATTGATAGAATATTTAAATAACGCTCAAAGAAACAGACTTAATGAAATAAAAGTTTCTGAGCTAGTTTCTAGTTCAGGTATAGAAATAATGGAATAAAACTGAAAGATGAAACATATCGTAAAAACTTTATGCCTGACAAAACACTGCTTTGAGACTGCACAAGATGACATATCTCATGATGGCTGATATGCTTTAAAAATAAATGACTTTGCTTATATGGCTTATACCAATGGAATGTTGGGTGTCTTAAGAATTTGATATGCTTGTGGGTTCAGAAATATCATTATAATTATTTATTTTCTAGATTTTTTAAATTTTGCTTTTCTATAGAAAATATGAATATATTTTTTTACAAAAAGGTAGAAATAGGCCATTTGCTCCACAGTCACAGTCAACTTCCCGAAAATTCAACCCTAATACTATAGTACTTATTGCTACTGAGATTGTTTGTGTGTGTGCTTGTCTGTCATTAAATACAGCAAAAACGGCACACAATAGCACCATATTTGTAATGAAATGAGAATAGAAAGAGAATAAAACAAGTTTCGTTAAAATCGGGCCACAAGGTTACCGAGTTAGCCCATTCTTTCGGGTCACTTTTATGAAAATTTCTCGAAGAATTTAGGTATACTAGATGGCACCTCATATTGGTTTATCTATCTATCTATTCGTTTTCCACCTGATAATCACTTTAAAAGATCTTCTATACAACGATATATGCACAACAGAAATTAAATGATGAGATGAAAATGTGTTATAAAGGCACGTAGAAAAAACAACAATAAAATGGGCTTACAATATTACTGACTATTTGCAAATAGTAACTATAGAGACGAAGTAATAAAATAAAAATCAAGTCGAGAACAATAACAAAAGTTAATAAATGAAAACTTCTCGCAGAGCATTGGTTATTATATTATTTCCTTGTCAATGTTCCCATCTTCATTAAAAGGCGTAAGATGATAAAAACAAGATCTTGAAGAACCTATCTATATACAACTAAAACTCTGAGATTGTTTGTTTGTTTGCTTATTTTTTCAGTTAAAAAATCGTTAACACTACCATTCAGGCTCTTTACGAAACTTCTTCGTTCAAATCTATTTCCCTGTCAATGTTCCCATATTCATTAAAAGGCGTAAGATGACAAAAACAAGATCTTGAATAATTTCTCAATAATGTGCCTTGGTTATGGTAGGTAATTAGAAGAAAAATAAAGTGTTACTGTTTCTTATTTGTAGAAGGTTTAACAGGAAAGACCACAACATAATGAACTAATTCATCACAATACCTGAAAACTCTGACTTCACTTTTTTGAAAACAATCAAATATCTTTTCTTGAATTCTTCATAACCTCTGAATAGTGGATGACCCAATAGTATTAGTAATGCAATGTTAAACTTTAGTTTCAGCAATTTAGGATAATTTTGTAAGTATCAGAAATATTAATAACTGTTTAAGAGTGATTAGGTACTTACTTTAAAGTCAAAAGTGGAATTTTCATGACAAACGAATTTAGCTTAGTTCGATGTGTAAAGCTTCAAAATGTTAGACTGTGTGTTGGTTTCTTGTGTGTAGTGGTCATACACATACTCGTAGCACATTGAGGGATGAGGTTCTCTTCAGCATATTTGTAAAGGTATTGAAATTTTTCCTGACCTCAAGTTGGGAAGACACGGTTACTTGTAATTAAAAACAAATATCAATTATATTTATTACTAATCAAGTTTTATGATCAATTCATATTATTTGAGTTTTATGACATCCAATTGTATCAGAAGTATTACCAGTTTCTAGATAAATGTGATTAACTCTACCAATTTACTGTGGTCTTGTCTGTTTAATAATACATTTTAGGAATAGAGCTGATTACACATATTTATAATACTTAATGTAACACATGCTCACAATATGATTATACAGTCAGATGAAAATTCATGAAGTTCTGTAATAAATATTTATACAAAATATTAAATCAATTACTAAATACCCTCCTTAGAGATAAAAAGACATTAAAAAAAACAGTTGTACATTATTTATTATAAATTATTTATGCTTCAAAGAACAAAAACATTTCACAATTGTCATGCTTGATCAATAAGAGCTGGGTGATAACTAGATTAATCTATATAATTGATTGCAAGTGGTCTGATCAAGTTCACAGCGGTTACCTTGGTTACCTTCCCTCTAGGTATTGTCCTTCGGCAGATGTCACATTACCTGCATAATCTTTTCTATTTCCGCTGACCCCAGCCAATTGAAATTGCTGATGATTCTGTCTGCTGTCCTCTTTGCTCCTAGGTGTCCTCCCACAATCAATTCATGAGCCAACTTCATCACTTGAGTCCAGTATTCTGTTGATACTATGATCTGTTTAACTTCCCCAGTATAACTGTCTTGATAGATCCAGTACAGCACTCCCTTCCCGTCCTCTAATCTGTAAGTCCATTTCCTCCTTTTTTTGTGCTCGACTTTCTCCCGGGTACTCTCCCAAAGTTTGTGCAATGAAGAATCTTTCTTCTATGCTTCCTTCAGTTCCTGTAGACCTACATTCCAGATGTTGGGTTTTGATACTTGCAGGGGCTTGTTATCTTGCTTGCTCTTCTTTTCTTGAGTTCTTGTGGTGACTGCAGATGCCTCATAAGTCTATTTCTGTCTGGTTCCTCCAAATTTCTACTGGCTGATATATTGCCTATCATCAAGTCATAGATGGGTGTCTTCATACACGTAGCCTCAAGGTCTCCCATGTAGTATGGAGTGTCAATCTTTATTTTTGCTAAGGAAACTATCTTAAACTTAAAATTCACAGTCGTGTATATTTATGAGACAGACACGAACTTTTGATAAAGTAGTGGAAAACATCAGTTTGAGAGAGAGAGAGAAGATTGGGTATAGTTCTGGTATAGAAACCAAGCATGTAAGCCTCTCTCAGATCTGGCTGTACAGAAGATTATTTTGTGCTATAACAGCTTAATCTATCAAACTATGAGCTTCAGTGGACTTTTGGTGCACATAATTAGGTGTTGAAAAACTAAATTGAAATTGAAGTGATGACGAAAATACCGTGACTTAGCCAGTGAAGGGGAAGATAATGGCATACACTCTCTGGCTAATTATGATGAGTTGATGCCTAAACAACTAATCTGCTTGAATGAATGGCAACAGAAGAAAAAAAAATCAACTTCTTATTAATTATGGCTAGAAGTAACGGATAAAATGCAAGTGTTTGTGAAACCAAAGGCAGTTTTTACCTTGACTTTCTAAGCTATGAAGTGGTAATTTCTGGTAAAACTAGCTGGAGTACCCATCCCCTGGACGAGGTTATGTTAATTCATGATTAATGAAAGGTTATCTTAGGACATGAAAAGTTGCTTCCTTTA